CTTATCGGTTCGCTCAAGTCACGCACGCGAAAACCGATCAAATTCAAGGTACATTTTGGAAAAAGTGAGGCGTTCTTAACTGATCCAACTAATATAGCTGGGAAATAGGTACCATAGAAAAGGTAACTACAGAAAAAAACTTTGCGGCCCGACCTTTACTAAAACTTTATAACTCCGTGAACTTACCTAATTTTCGGCAATCTCCAAGTTTTGCCGCCATTTTGAAGGACTTCTCAACATGAAGCGTAGCAGATATAAATCGAGCAGGTAGATCTAAAACCGTCAGAAATACATACCAAAGCATTCAAATGAACTTCACTTTCAATTCAAGGGGCAAAATTTGAAATTGTTCGTTAGACCTACCATTCCTACATCCCCATTCGACCATTTCTTCCAACAATTCACTGGCACTACAACTAGTGTTCGAATTTCCCTCGTCGATTCCACCGTAAGAAATAACCTGTGCCACCCAAGCTTCGACTCGAATGTGAAGTACGAATCAAACAACATAACTGCGTCATCTTCGAGGCCATATCAAGCTGGTATTTTGATTTTCTGATCGACAAGAACGGTGATCAGGAAGGGATCGCCATCATCGCCATGTTTACCTCATAAACGTGACCGCTGACCACCGCTGAGTGAAAACAGTACGGCGCGGGGTGGTGTGGGCGGCGGACTTATCTTCATAAGATATTCGAATACATGCTAAAAAAGCTTTAGGAGTCTCAGTCTAAACAGTGAAGGTATGCTTCGTGGTACAGACAACTTTTATTTTATTCTCATAACTTTTTATTTTAAATTGGAACTGGTATTAATTAATAGAGTTATTTAAATATTTTTAACCGAGGTACCCATATGACCTTTTTGCTTGTCCTCAGTGGTACAAAATAAGGTGTCTTTTCTTCCAGAACCTTTTATTTATGCGTTATTTGCACGGAATAAACACTATACTTAGAAGGTTTGTTCTAAATCATTTTTGCTGTTCCCAAGAATGTACAGTGGAACCCCGTTACTACGACCACCTTAGGGCCATGGAAATTTGGTCGTATTAACGGGGTGGTCGTAAATTATGGTGTAAAATGCTTTTAAACTACATTCTACTATATTTATACCTTTAATCCGCTATAAATCAGCCAACCTTTTGGCAGTTAATTAATAACCTTACAACCGCTATTCAATGCAAGTCAACAATGTAACAGTAAAAGAAACCGAGTAATGAGAAAAAACACTGACTTCTTTCAGTTTAATTTTCTTGTTTTGAAAGGAAGGGGCTTGTGAAATGTTGGGGAGGACAGCCAAGAAAGGTTGATATGCTTAACAAATTATTAGACATTCCAAATAACCGATCTGTGAGAGAAGTACAGGAAATGGACTCGAAGAGAAAAGCCACAGTGGAAGGCACCAGAAACAAGAAGGCAAAATAACTTTTAGAGCCTCGAAATTCTGCAAAGTGAAGTCTTTCAGATCTTTTGTATTATTTATTCATGCATTCTTTTTACTGAACACTGCAATTTAGCGGATGTCATGCTAACCACTAACACAAAAAAACATTTAAAAAAATATTAGTAGTACGTTATTGTTGTCAGATTGTGTCTGTTTTCATTCAGCAGCCCCACCAAGCATTTTGACTGGTCGTATTAACGGGGTAATTTTATAAAGAAAATAACGACTCAGGACTCCCAAAGGTGGTCGTTGGTGGAAATAACGGGGTGGTCGGATTAACGGGGTTTTCAGATAAGAAAATGAGTGGGCTTGTGTTCGGGCCACAAAAAAGTAGTCGTAATAATGGGGTGATCGTATTAACGGGGTGGTCGTATGGCGGGGTTCCACTGTATGCAAAATCATTGCTTTATACAAAGCTGTCTCTAAAATATGATTTTCCGTAACAGTAACCAACGTCATTTACCGGCGAAAGGTGTAAATAAAACTAGCAATGTACAGTTTTTAGCCTTTTCCACTTATAAGCCTGACATACAATTGTCAAGTGAACTATGTTCAGTTTCAGTTCATTCCTTGATTTGATGTGACCTTTTATCACTAAACCCTATTCTTTTCATTTGCAATTTTCCTGTACTTTTTTTTTTCATACGACAACGACGAAGAGTTCTATAAGTAAACCGATTTTTTGGTGTACCACGCTTATTACATTGTATATACAAATACATGCAAAAGGCCGGCTAAATAAGCTCCTCCTCCTGCTCCTAATTTTTTGGGTTGCCTTCGCCCCATGCCTCTGCACGACTCCCTGTCGGCTAAAAGGAAATTTGAAAGACTGCTATGCAGGACACATTTTCTTTTTCATTTTCATTTACCCTCTACAATTTTTTATAAGTATGTAAAGATATAAAAAACACAAAGGTTTTTACAAGTAAACTGGTTTTTTTTGTACCACTCTTAATATATACATATACCTTGTTCTGGCAAAATAGTGGCTAAGAACGGCTGAATGACCTGAATATATACCTATTTGGAAATAAAATGATGCTTTTTGGTTTCCCGTTAAAACATTACGTAAGAGTGACGCATGTCTGTTCAAATTGTGACAAAACCAAGTCATAAAGTCAAAACAAAAGAGAAAAAAGTGTAATTTTCATAACCAACTTACAATCTCTCCATTACAGACAGCAGCTACAAGGGCCACTGGGTCACTGCTTGATGGTGTAATTATCCTTCCACTGAGCACTGGAATTCATGGGTCATTTCCTTTATTTTTGACATTAGAGTAGCTTTGAAATCTCTAGATTGAAGCTCGGTTGAAAAATTTTCATCCCTTACCCTTTCAGAAGACGACAGTACCAATGTTATCGAGAGACAGGGTAGTGAACCTTTCCAGTCGAATTTAAGTGAAGGATGGACACTCCCTAAGCCAAAAGGTGGCGCTCTTCGCTTCTCAGAGAAAGTAAGGCAGTATCCCACCTCCAAGTTTGAAATTGGTGAGCAATCTGGAAGGAAAGAGGATCTGCGACAAGTCTCGCAAGATATGAGGAAAGTGAAGGGGGAAAACGGGGAGCGCCTGTTTTCCAGGGAAGAGTGGCTAACCAAAGCCCAAATACAAGGAGTTTTCTTCTGTTTGTCCTCCTCGAGATGGAGACGGGCAGGTTCGTCTCCGAGCACCGCGGTTGACGATAAATCTGACGAGGAAGAAGTGAATCAGATGTCCACCGTCGAATCAGTTGTAACAGAAATTGGCTTAACGCATCCGATTGTCTATGACATTTATGACTTGTGTGACTACGTCAAGGAGGAAATATTGAACTATTTTACTGTTTCCATGCTTAAGGAAATCTGTACTTTCTTCGAGCTCCCATTTAAATGGGAAGTCGTGCAGAGGCATGTATAGGGCGAAGGCAACCCAAAAAATTAGGAGCAGGGGGAGGGGCTTATTTAGCAGGCCTTTTGCATGTATTTGTATATACAATGTAATAAGCGTGGTACACCAAAAAATCTGTTTACTTATAGAACTCTTTGTCGTTGTCGTATGAAAAAAAAGTACAAGAAAATTGCAAATGAAAAGAATAGGGTTTAGTGATAAAAGGTCACATCGAATCAAGGAATGAGCTGAAACTAGCATAGTTCACTTGACAATTGTATGTCAGGCTTATAAGAGGAAAACGCTAAAAACTGTACATTGCTAGTTTTATTAACACCTTACGTAAATGACATTGGTTACTGTTACAGAAAATCATAGAGGCAGCTTTGTATAAAGCAATGATTTTGCATACATTCCTGGTAACAGCAAAAATGATTTAGAACAAACCTTCTGAGTATAGTGTTCATTTCGTGCAATAACGCATAATAAAAGGTTCTGGAAGAAAAGACACCTTATTTTATACCACTGAGGACAAGCCAAAAGGTCATATGGGTACCTCGGTTAAAAATATTTAAATAACTCTATTAATTAATACCAGTTCCAATTTAAAGGAAAAAGTTATGAGAATAAAATAAAAGTTGTCTGTACCACGAAGCATACCTTCACTGTTTAGACTGAGACTCCTAAAGCTTTTTTAGCATGTATTCGAATATCTTATGAAGATAAGTCCGCCACCCACACCACCCCGCGCCGTACTGTTTTCACTCAGCGGCTGGTCAGCGGTCACGTTTATGAGGTAAACATGGCGATCCCTTCCTGATCACCGTTCTTGTCGATCAGAAAATCAAAATACCAGCTTGATATGGCCTCGAAGATGACGCAGTTATGTTGTTTGATTCGTACTTCACATTCGAGTCGAAGCTTGGGTGGCTGACAGGTTATTTCTTACGGTGGAATCGACGAGGGAAATTCGAACACTAGTTGTAGTGCCAGTGAATTGTTGGAAGAAATGGTCGAATGGGGATGTAGGATGGTAGGTCTAACGAACAATTTCAAATTTTGCCCCTTGAATTGAAAGTGAAGTTCATTTGAATGCTTTGGTATGTATTTCTGACGGTTTTAGATCTACCTGCTCGATTTATATCTGAGAGATCTATATCTAATATGGATTTATATCTAAAGAGATCCGATCAAACGGATTGTGGTTTTAGTATAGGTACATGAATGTCTTACCACACACAAAAAATGAGCTAAATCTGTGTCTCACGCAAAACCGACGGGACCGCTCTTACAGAGACACTCTCTTAACTTTTTTTCTACAAAAATGCGGCGCTTATTTGAGAGCGGTGCTTAATACCATAGTAATACCGCTTAGAACCGTATTTACACGAATAAGCGCCGCGGCGCTAATTAACTCCCCCAACCCAATGCGGCGCTTATTTGAGGGCGGTGCTTGTTCGAGTAATTACTGTAATTGGCAACTTAAGAGTTTATTACAGTTAGGGCAAATTGTTATTACATTTAGGACTTTATTACATTTGGGACAAAACGTCATTACATTTAGGACTTTATTACATTTAGGGTCGTTTATTACATTTCGGCCTTCTACATCCCCTTTCTTCTTCTCTTCGCACATTTTTATCTGAGCAAGGTGCTCAACACACTCTGCCACAAGCTTTTCGGAGACAATTTACTTATCTGAATACTCTGTAATGACCTCACTATCTCCACTGACTAATATACTTCCTTTAAACAATCGCTTAATCTGAGTTCGAGGCTGGAAGTCGCCTGGCTCACGGTCATCGGTGGCGGTTTCACTCCAAGAGAGATAATGGAAATGAAGTAGCTTGATAAAGTCGGAATACGGTCGTCGAGTTGGAAGTGGAGCGCTATTATCTCATCCTTCTCGCCAAATTAAACAGTTAGCCATTTCGCTCTTGACACGACATTCGCCTTTACTCCATATAAAGCTCTCCTGCGTTTGCTGGATTACGCAAAACTTATTGCTTTCAGAGCCTCGCAAACTTCCGGGACTGGCGCTTTCTTTCAGTCACAAAACAGCGGCGAAAGCGTTCCTTGTAGGGACAAGTGGTCCAACATGACAAGTAGAATTTTAGCAGAATACTATTGGAGAATTCAGAATATTCGCCCTTTGGGTTCGGGAACCACCCTAGGTCTTCATCTTTCCACCTCTCTGGACTTGCCCTTCCACTTGTTCCCGCATCCGATGTGCTGTCTTCCTGATGTCTCGAAACAGAGTCAGAGGAGGAGCGGTCATCATTTTTAGAATGAAAAAACAGCCGCAATAGCCACAAGTCACTCCATCTGAACTCATGAAATCATCATATTCACCAGAAGCACATTTCCCTCTTTCTATCTTTTGAATATCCTTGGCAATCTTCTTTTTCGTAGGAAAAGATATTCGAGGTCGTGAATGGGGTTAACCGACTAGCGACAAAGGGCAAAAAATATTACCAACAACCGACAAAATGCGAAAAAAATTACCCACTAACGACAGGAAAAATATTAACCGACTACCGACATGGACCGACATTATCTATATTTTTTTCAGAAAGAAGCGTATATTGTATCTTTTTTACCTTTCTAGGGAGTAACGAAAGATACCACGTCACAAGTCTTATTACAAATGGAGCGTATGAAAATTTCTACAAAGGAACCCGCCTAGTCCTACACATTACCTGCGAGAAATGCTTAGTTTAATCCTCAAAGAAAATATTCTTTCCAATTCAATGGAAAGCTCTACCTACAAACCCATGGTACTGCATGCGATGGGCACAAAGACAGCAGTTTCCTATGCCAACAGTTTTTAAACACAAAGTCTAAGCAAAACTGTCTTTAAACCAGACATCGTAACTTTCTTCGAAAAAGCAAACTTACATCATCCTACTAATAAATTCGCCACCGAAATTCGCTGAGACAATATTTTTAGACATAGCTGTATACAAAGGCACAAGACAAAGCGTATGGCCCGGATGGAATTCCACCCTGGTTTTTAAAGGAGAATGCCCATGAAATATCAAAGGTTCTTACTGATATATATCAAGATTGTATTGATACCGGAACTGTGCCTATCCAATGGAAACATGCCAACGTATGCGCTATTCACAAGAAAGGAAAGAAATCGGATCCTTCAAATTATAGGCCCGTGTCACTTACCTGCATTGCATCAAAGGTACTTGAGCATATTGTACACAGCCATGTTATGAAGCATCTTTCACGATATGGAGTGCTCACTGATTGTCAACATGGCTTTAGAGCGAAACGATCAACAGAAACACAGCTCATATGTACCATTCATGACATAGCAAGTGCTATCCAGTCTAACAAAACAATTCACGCCGCAATCCTTGATTTCTCAAAAGCATTCGACAAAGTTCCCCATCGCCGACTCTTGAAGAAACTTGATTATTATGGAATTCGTGGCCCACTACATAACTGGTTTGAATCGTTTCTAACACAGCGTACCCAATCAGTGGTAATTGAGGGGGCATCATCTGCCCCTGTAGTTACGACATCTGGTGTTCCCCAAGGAACAGTCTTAGGACCGCTACTGTTCTTAATGTATATAAATGATTTACCTGATAGTCTTAACTCTACTGTTAGACTTTTTGCTGATGATACATTGTTATATGGGACAATTTGTTGTGATGAAGACACAGTCGATCTCCAAGAGGACTTGTATAGATTAGAAGATTGGCAGCAAAAGTGGAAGATGGAATTTAATCCTTCAAAGTGCAAGATCATGTGTTTTACAACCAGGAGAGATCCACCAAAGCGGGAGTACGTATTTTGTGGACAAATCCTAGAAGAAGTGGAATCTCACCCTTATCTGGGGGTAGTGCTCGATAACAAAATGAGGTGGTCATCACACATTGAAACAATCACATCTAGGGCAAATAAGGTCTTGGGACTTATCAAGCGAAATCTGTGGAATTGTCCAAAGTCAGTGAAAGAAACCGTGTATATGACACTTGTGAGGCCAAAACTCCAGTATGCCTGTAGCGCATGGGACCCACATTACCAGAAAGATAAAGCCGCTCTAGAAAGGGTACAGCGGAAAGCAGCCCGCTTTGTCACTGGAAACTACGATCGAACAACGAGCGTGACGGAAATGCTGCAAGACCTACAGTGGGACACACTTGAAACAATGAGAAGACACGCAAGGCTCTCCACTATGTACAAGATGTGCCACGGCCTCCTAGATGGGGACTGGGGGGATTATTTGAAAACAAGCAAAGAAAGGAGAACCCGGGGAAGCCATGATTTTAAATTTATTGTACCGAAAGGACATAAAGATATTTTTAGATTTTCTTTTTTTCCCAGGACAATAACTGAATGGAACAAACTTCCAGAAGAAACTGTTTCCAGCCAATCCCTCTGTATTTTTAAAAGCAAACTAATTTAGTTTTCTTTTTATCAGTGGTTTTTTAATAGTTTTTAATAGTTTTGTATATTCTGGTATAGTTTTATTTATTATTATCTTAGAGTTGGCGTGATGTCCCAAACGATTTTGCCGACATAACGATATTTAGATTTAGATTTTAGATTGAACGAAAAAGTTATCCTTGATGTAAAGACTACGGAAACCTTCCAACACACATTTCGCCCTTTGTCACCCACTGATTTGTCAAAGGAGTTTGCGAAGTGTTTCACATTTCAAAAGAACGCTTGATGGACAGAGGCTACCAACCGTGAACACAATTTAAAAGAAAAATTGCCATCAGAAATAAATGAAACTCACAGAAACTGAAGTCCGCGCTCCTGAAACAAAACAGCGAGGAAGAAAAAGAAATGCTGCCTTTCGTGACACAATACAAGCTCTTAGTGTCTACTATAAGAGAAGTTTTAATGGAAAAGTGGAATCTCATACAAAACTAACCGCTTTTAAAGAACCACCCTTTATTTCCTGCAAGAAAGGAAAACCATGGCAAAGAACACGCTTGTTAGAGCCAAAATGTTAAAGGTCAACCCACAGTTTCACGCCGATATAGATGTGCATCCTGCGAGTCACCCCTTGCAGTTTTTCACCAAAAATAATTTACGTATCCAAAAGGCTACACTGGCCCTTTCCCTCTGTGTCCAATTAACCTCTCTTCATTCCTTTTTATGGTACCCTGTAATCAACAGGGAAACCAAGTTCGCATTTGCAATAAAAGCTTTGGTGATTTTATCGGTACTATATTGGCAAACAAAGGTGAAATAAATTATCATGTTGCAGTTTAAGTTCAATCAAATGATGCATTTTTACAAAATTAACACGTTTTATGGGAATCAAAGTCTTCAAAATGAGTGAAACGCATAGCAAATATTATTCATTAACATGCATTTTACTTATTAACTTAGATTAACCGACAACTGACGAAGATCGAAAATTTTAACCGACTACCGACAAAGTAACTAAATTTTAACCGACAACCGACAAGTGGACCCCCCACCCCATTCAGACCCTCGTGATTATTCCACTGTTTAAAAAACTCGGGACCAGAACGCAGAAAGCAGAAATTCCTCACTCACTGTAAAATAACTCAATCAGCAGGTATGGCGACCCGATTGTAACTCGAGGTTTTTAGCGCAAAAACGCGAGCCACCCCGACTTTTAGAGTGAAATAAACAACAAAGTCAAATATTTTTTCGGCTAAATTTTTGTCTACACTGACGTGGATAAGAGCTAAAGCGAGAGATAAAAAACAAAGGAGACGAATTTCGTTTGGAAAACAACATGAAAATTTTATATCGGCGGTGAGGAAATAAGAGAAAGCTAGCAGTCAGCAAGGAGAAGCCAGCAAGGTAAAAGTAAGCGTCAGTGGAAAAATCGAGTAGTAATGGCTCAGTCAACCAAGCGTGCCCATCCCCCCCCCCCCCCGGGGATTGGTCGGGGATTTGTCATCTTATCGGTCCAGGCTGTGGGAATTTGTCAGAAAACCTCTGCCCGGGGGTGGGGATTTGTCAATTCTTCTAGACCCTTTTTCAATATTTCACTTTAAAAAATTACTTCCCGCCATCGTGATCAGTTCGCACATGGGGGGGAAAACAATCAATGTATCGTTTCAGGAGTTTGAATAAAAAGACATTCTCTTTGTGCCGTAATGAGTGAACGGTTGAGGTAGAAAGGCGAGCTATTTGAAAGCTAATATAAACTTTTTGTGTATTGCACGATGAATGCGACAATTACTACGCTGATGAAACGATTCCAGAAAGGTAGTATTAAAATTCTAGTTTATGGTTCTGTCATTGATATTGATCAGATGGCCGGATGTAATCTTTTTTGCAGGAATTTTTACCAGCGGCTAAGGGTGATTTGTGTGGGGCGCTTCACCTGTCATCGTTGCTTTTTTTCTCGCTCCATTTTCAAGGGGTCTCTAGCTTTTCCAAAACAAAATGACAAATGCCCGGGGGGATGGGGACGCTTGGAATTGACTGAGCCACAACACAAGCATCAAAATCTTTGGTAAGCACATACGAAATTTTTTTTCCTTAAAATGGCTAACTAGAAAGATTCACGTTGTGGTCGTGCAAAACAACGGCAAAAAAGTGTGTTGCACGTGCAAAGTTGTTTTTTGTTGCCAGTTAGCCCGGAGGAATAAATCGATAAAAATCAGGATCGATATATCGATTAAAAGGGTAAATCTGATTTGATTGATATCGATTGTATCGATAAATCGATAGAAATCGATGAAACACTTGTTCCGTTCATCCATTTATCTTGATTTTTACCGATTTCACCGATTTATATCGCAAGATACATCTATTCATCAAAAATTGAAAACTAAATTCATGCAAACCGGAGAGTACATTTGTTGACAATTGAGTTGCAGTGGAGGGTCGAAAGATCAAACAATTATCACTTTTAAAAAATATCATTTATTTAAGTCTTTTCTTTTTTTCCAAACTGGGTTTAAAATCATTTTATGGTGGCTGATATTGGCTAGGTTTGCAGGCGCTCCGTTTTTCACGACTTAGATCTGCCACCTTCTTAAAATATTGTCGGAGTACGGTTCCGCGTGTAGTTGCATCCCGGAGTAGTTAATAGATACAAATCGAAATCGATAAAAATCGTTAGGTGATTTTTATTGATTGACGACAGAAAATGGTGAAAATCTATCTAGGGAAATCGTTTAGCCTGAATTTTGATTCGAGGGGAAATCTGAAATTCATGCGAGGAAATCTTTAGCTAAGGTTGTATTTCTCGTAATGCTTGCTCGGGGATCCGCGTGTAATTAAACGGAACCGTTTCTGTTATTATGAGCAAAATAAAGGGTTTTTAATT